AAAAAAAAAAAAAATGCTCCCCCCTTTTGCATCCCCCAAAGGCCCCCTATAAAGACCCCAGCCCACAACCCGTGGGCTGACAATTTTCCCTACCCTGAAGGGAATTGTCCCGTGTGAATTTCCTATGCTTATAAACTCTATCCTGCTGGAGTTTTATCTGTGTCCTGGTGCTTTCTCCCTATTGACCTGATTCATCTATCCGATTCATCTATCAGTTACCATTGGACTTAATTCTTTTGTCTTGTGTAAACCATTGGGCTCAGTTGTTTCACAGAACAAATGTCTTTATATGCATTATGTTAGTAAATTGTTTTGTGCTGTTTAAACTCACAGAGAAGCTGATTCTGGAACTAGGATTAGCCTTTCAGCTTCAGATTCAAGCCTACTTATCTCAAATGTCCTGAAAACCTCTCTCTGGAGCCAGGTGGCCACCTAACTCTGTGACAGGGGAAAGGACCACAAAACAGCCAAAGAGAAAGGGTATTATGTCCTTGGAGACGACTAAGGGATAATCCACTTCCAACAAGGTTACTATTATTTGTGTCATGATATAGAAATGTCTGTAATAAGAGCAGCTAGTGGAATGCTCTATCTTGACACAATAATGGAAAAAAAATAAGCAATATAAACTAATACAAATATAAAATATTTAATTACTTAATAAAAAAAGAAAAACAGGGTAAATAAATGTTTTTCTCAATAATAACAATAATCATATTAATGGATTTGAGACTTCTAACACAAAAGTATATATTCCCCTTAAATTATTATAGGAAATTTAAATAGCATTTTACAAAGAAATAGATATTATGGTCAAATATGGAATAACTTTCCCAAAAATAAGCTGATGCTAGTACAATCTTAGCTATTCTAACAAATAAGATACATGGTAGTGGGCGGGCACTTCCTGAAAGATCACTGTAAGAGGCAACATTTTCCAGACACTCAGAGATTACAGTTTCTATGGTTGCCTGCCTTGTGTAGGCCTGGGACTGAGCTCAAAATGGCCTTTCTGATTTGGATGCCAATGAAGGCTTCAGGGGTGCTGGCTGTAACTTCTGCATGTATCAATGGATATACTTATTATTGGAAGTACATGAGGGTCTTATCAAATGCATTTGTTGGTACTTCATCTACTAAATGAAACTTTACTGTGATGCTTTTGAATATGCATAATCCTATAAAATGTATAAACTCTCCTTAATCAGGGTCCAGGTTTTGAGGCTTTAGCCCGCTGGACCACGCTGTAGCCTAGTAAAATACTTGCTTCCTGTAGACTCCTGGTGTCTTGCCTGGTCTTCCTGCAACACAAGAACTAGATGATAAGACTCTTGTTGAAGACAATGCATACATTGGTTATAAGACATAGAGAAATAAGGTTGGGGCCAAACTGGAAGCTCCCTTTCTGCTGCCTGGCTTCATAATAGAAAGTGGTGTTGCAGGCTGTTGGAAGAGAACTGTCACCAACAATTCTATCAGTTGTGGACTCCATGTACTACATTATCAAAATACCAAGCAAGATATGCCCAGTGCTGCAATAGTGGCACAGACTGTTTTGGATAAAACCAACTACTTTCCAACAGGATTTAAGACCCAATCTGTAGGAGGAAATAATTCATGTCCGCTACTGTAAGCCAGGAGAAAATCTTGTGGCTGGGGAAGTCATAGGCCTGGTGTGAAAGCAACTACTATTGTTTTGTTAATTGGATATGATGTGCCTGTCCACTGCCTTCTAAACATCTGTGTTTATACCTTGTAGATCACTGTTGCTATCATCCTAAGTTGGTCATGGAGGGAAACTTCTTTTTTGCAGAAGGAGGTGTACTTACAGACACTCATAACCACAGGTGAAGCTCCTGAGAACAAACAACTGTTGCTGTGGCATAGTGGCTCAAGTTTAGCCTTAGACAAGAAAGACATCTATATTACCCCCTCCAAGGCTCAGGGAACATGGCAGAAAGAATGCAAGAGCCAGAGGAAGGGGTGGAGTGCTTAGTAACAGTTTTCTGAGTTGAAACAATCCATCTTGAAGGGACGCTCATTCAGACTCAGGAGGTTCTGAAAGGAAGATTCTTAAGTCTCAGAAAGTAAAAATCACATAAAGTATTTGAAACTTGCCAGATTAACAAGGGCACTCTCTCTTCAAGTTCTTTTTTTTTAACTTTTATTTTTAAGTTAATTTTTTAAATTTTACGTGTATGCATATATTGCCTGCATATAGGTAAGTGTACCCATGTTGTGCAATGCCCACGGAGGTCAGAAGAGGCTGTTGGATCCCCTCAGACTGGAGTTACGGACAGTTGTTAGCTGCCATGTGGGTGCTAGGATTTGAACCCGGGTCTTCCGCAAGAACAACAAGTGTTCTTAATTGCTGAGCCATCTCTCCAGCCTTCTTTAAGTTCTTTAAGCAGTAAGAATGGCTGAGGACTCTCATACCAACTGTGATGCCTGGAAGAGACTCTCCCTATTGAGTGGCCTGTAAACCATGCAAAGAGCTCTAGGGTTCCAGCTTTCATGCTGGGGTAGGCTTTTGGTGATGCAGGTGCCTTTGAGTTGTCCCTGCTCCTCTAAGTAACTCCTCACTCATACTCCTGTAAATAACCCCAGTAATCTCATTTGTTCACCAAGCTGAATTTCAGCGGTATTGTTACTTTAGTCTGTCATCAGTTTTCAGTCTGGGGTGAATACATGTTTGTGTTGCATCGTCCCAAGAAAAGTGTCACACAATACCTATTTACAAAATATTTTCTCTTTCAGCATATAATTTCATAAACAATGTCAATATTGAGCACATACATACCTTCCTTAATATTTCCTGACCTTTGAGAGGGCAAGGCCTGAGGAGGAGAAATCTGTGCAATCAGCGGCTGCTGTGGTAGCTGCTGAATGATGGTGGCAGGAGGCTGCGGAACCTAAAAGGGCCAGTCAATTAGCTACCTCAATGCACAGCCTTTACAAGTACTGCTCATTCATCTATCAACACACTCAACCAACCATCCATCCACCTATTCACCCATCTACCCACTCCCCACCAACCCATCCATCAGTCCATCCACCTACTCACCCACTTATCCATCCACCCCTACACATACTCATCCATCCATTCATCCACATATCTAAAAATCAGTCCATCCAACTCTCCACACACCCATTCACTCATCTACTTAGCCATCCACCCATTCACCCATCTGAATTTTATTTATTTATTTTTTTGGTCTTTTTGAGACATAGTCTCCCTGTAGTCCCAGCTGGCCTGAAACTCACCATATAGACCAGGCTGGTCTTGAACTCACAGAGATCCACCTACCTCTGCCTCCCAGGTGCTGGGACTAAAGGTGTGCGCCACCACGCCTGGCTCTGAATAAAACCTTAAATGATTAACACTATAAGTTAAATAAACAATTGAATAGAAAACTATTTACATTTGAATATAATTAGGACATGGTATTTTTATTTCTTTGAGGCTGAATTTCACTATCTATCTCTGACTACCCTAAAACTCACTGTGTAGACCAGGCTGACCTTGAGTTTGTGGCAATCCTCCTGCCTGACTCCTGAGTGCTGGGAGGATATAGGCATGTAATACCACACCATCTAGGACATAATATTTTTAACATTTCTAACATTTCCTATCTTTAGGAGAGTTAGTTAATGCCTGGTTAATTAATTAATTCTGCCTTAGTAAATAGGTGTACTATTTATTCTGTCCAGTCTTTTAACTTTTTGGCATTTTAACAGTAGTGGGATTTCATGGTGTAGGGAGCCTAGGGGTAGACCTGTATGTTGAATGGCAGGTGTTCTCAATTCTTTTCCAGTGGCCTGACTATTGTGACACCAGTACCAACCTTGCTAGTTACCATAGCTCTACTATATATTGAAGGACATACGTGGACTTTATTGTGCAAATAACCTCTGGTTTCTTGTCTGAGTGAAAATAAGTATGTAGCAATTTCAAGGAAATGCCAGAAAGACTTGTCTTAATCCTTCTTACAAGAGGAACATGAATTTATCCCTTCTTTTTCTTCACAGAGATAGCATCTTAGACCAGACTTGGAAACTTTTCCTGAGGAGCACAGGTGATGAATTGTTCGGGCTCATGGGTCACATCAGCTGAGTATCTGCTCTGCTGTTGAACATGAGAACAGCCACAGACAGATGTCAGCATGTGTCCCTATTAATAGAACTTCATGAAAATAAAAATGTGCATCTTCCTGGTACATCTTCTTGTGTTACAGGATATTATTCCTTTATTTGTGAAAACATTTTATATATATATATA